ATGCTCGGGTTTTGGGGGGGTTGGAGTTTGATTGGGCGAGACTAATATGTATGGAGCGTAACTTGGTGGTTTTATTGGATGATGGGATTTATAGAGGTATAATACGGAGTATTACGGAGTAATTTAGCCTTAACACTGTGGCTCGGACTTTTCTTAGCATTTCAAGGTTGACATTGAATGGTCAATGCTTGACTATTCGATGTTCATATCATCACCTCCAGATTCGTTGACGTATATACTTCTTAAACAATATACACGGAAACTAGCATCAAACCAACCCCATCGACAGATAAATCCCTCTGCATATTCTTGCTTCTTCCGTGATATTTCCTTCTTTTCAAGACATCCAACCAGCTGCTATCTCACCACACCAAAGACCTGTCAAACCCTATGTAGAAGAAAAAAAAAGCCAAATGAAGATCCATTGCCATATGCTACTCTCACCGCAACCAGCCAGCTCACAGCCATGCACGGAGTACAGAGTACATGTACGGATTACATATATTGTACTCCGTATACTCCGTATATACAGTTCCAGTCCTGTCGCAATAAGCGAACCCCGTAACCTGGAAAGTTACGGGAGGGAAAGTCGGATCTGTCAAGCCCGGACTTCTGCAACGTGCCCCATAAGAAACTCCTAACTCAGTACTAGAAGTACCTCTGTATAGTAAGTAGTTCGGAAATTAGTCTTCGGTATTGCAAATATACGTTGCACCCGCTCAGACAGCCAAGAACTTAGAAAGTCTCCGACATGGAAAGAGATCTCTACATTTCCTGATACGTCTTAGAGTCACATGGAAGACATTCACCTATGAGGTAGATATATAGATTGTATCCGTACAATATATAATACATATTCCTACTCTGTATACCTAGAACGGAAAATCGGGAAATAACACCACAAAGGGCCTCAGCGCCCCTTAGCCAATTAGTCCTGCTCCACTCTCCCACCATCTACGCCATACAGAGACCGAAGCAGATTTAGGGGGACTATCATGTTGATATATCACATTTTCGTCGGGTTTTGCCCGGTCTGGACCGCTCTCGTTTTTTTCTCTTCTTTCATTTTTGGCGTATTGCGAGATTTGACGATGATTGTGTGAGGTCATGGGGTTTAGCACCGAATATGTCCGGGGCGTTGGTTTTGTTGTTTCATGGGAGATGAGGGTGCGAGGTATGGTTTTGTTTGGAATGAGGATTGAAAGAGGTCGTGACTTTGGCAAAAGTACTAAGGGTTAGAACGAGGTGGATTTTCAGACGCATTGTATTACGGAGTATGTCGGTATGTATGTTGTAGATGGAACTGGAATAGATATTAGGTACCATAGTAGAGAACGAGATATTTATTGAAGGGGCACACATTCTCTGGATCTAAATACTTCAAAATCAGGTATAGATGGTTCGTGGTCACAATTGGATTCCCTCATGATAGTTCAATCGACTCATAAATATGCTTTATATCAAACCAAGTTGTTCACAAAAGCCTATCAATAAATCTATAAACCATTGCGTGGCATGTCAAAGAACACCACAACACCCCTACTCCCTAATCACCTTCAAAAGAAAAGAGCACGTAGTATCCGGTATAAATAGCCCATCAGATGCCAGTATATTCAAGATTGTAAATAGTCAATGTAGTCTGTCATTGGTGATGGGTATGGATAAAAGAACGAGGTGGAGATTGGCACAGCAAACGAGAAAAGAACCGAAGATTGCTGCGCCGTATGTACAAGATGCATCGCTTGAGAAAGGCCATTGACGGCCAGAGAGTCAAAAGCATGTCACCGCGGACACCATCATGCATGCTCTATAATGGACAATCTAGAGGTAATTCTATCGGGACTGGGACGTCGCCTTCGCGATGTATCTGTCTTAGCTGGTGTTGGAACAGTTGCCATACACCCTTCAGCGCTTCTATGCGGTCGTTGGCATCGAGCAGGTCGAACCATCTAGTCCTCTGCAGCTTCAACACATGCCACGGCTCACCTTCGGTTGCCGGGAAGGTGCTGTCGCCGTTGGTGAGGATGTCCAAATACCGCCTGTGGACGCGGAGGTGGAGGATTGAGATGTGGTGGTTGATAGAAGAGATCATGTAAATCTGCAAGAAATGGAGGGTTAGCACTATCTGGCCGTACAATGCACATTCAGTCTCAAGAAACAAGGCAGGGTATGCGTACATCGTCAAACGGGCTCTCCTGGACCTTGCCTATCTGCAAATAGCTCATCCGCTTATCCCAAAGACTAGGTCCAGGCTGCAGGATCTTCCACTTTTCACTGCTAGTAAGTCTGCGCATAGCACTCGGTTTCCGGGAGAGAGACGTGACAAACGGATGCTCAAACTTGTGGCGCTTGGAATCGCTCTCCGCCTCCTGGGCAGATGGCCTGATCTCTTCCATCATCGAGTCTGGCAGGGACATCCCGTGTCCCTTGTTAATGAGATCATCCAGGATCCCGTCGTTGGGGGCGCCTCCGAAGCGAGGCTCCATGGTCCACCATTTGCCTTCGCCGGGTCGCTTCTCCACTGCGCCTTCGCGGGCACGCTCTTGCGCCGCGAGAAGCATACCGCCCACTTCGCGGAATAAATCACTTACCTCGCCAATCCCGGTTCCGGGAGTATTGTCCGCAGTGCGGAAAGAAGTCTCGGATCGACACTGCGAGATGAGAACGGGGCCTTCGAGCATGCCGCTCCGCGCAATCTGGCGATCTCGCGGGGACCGTGAGGACTGGAATGTTTGTCGGACGGGGAACAGGAGGTTCTTGGTGGTCAACCGTGGTGGGAGCGTGGGGGCCGTGACCTGGCATCCGAATGGCCATGCGACCATCTCCACGAAGGATCGGATTGTCTCGTCACGCATTTCATCAGGCATCTCGGCCCCGTTGCCAATTCGGCGGCCCGTGTACACAGGAACAGAGGGTTGATGTCCATCGCCAACAGCGTTATTGCTCAAAGGCGCGGCTGTCTGTGCTTCATCCAGGTCCATTGGGCCGTCTGTCAGAGAGTACCTGCTCTTGGAATCCTCGGCATCCATCTGCATTGTGTCATCCCCGGCCCGCTCCCTCTCAGATGGTGTCGGCTCGGGGGTTGCCGGGCGCTCGTAGTAATTGTCTAGGCTAGTATCCCAGTATTGAGCCATGCGCTCCAATCCCGTCCAGAACTTCCTCGACTGCGTTATACGAACACGGCTGCGACCCTCACGCGGCGGCAATCGAGCCACCTCGCGGAAGGCGTCGTCATTGTCCAATGCCAGCTCTTTTTCCAGGATTTCGTATCGTTCCTTTGATGGATACGGGGCTCCGTTGTCCATCAACGGTTGGGGGTTGTCTTCCGTCGGTTCGGTGGTATCTTCCCATGGCAAGGGGGCGAGGGGGTGCGAGTGGTCTTCAGGGATCATGTTGGCGACTTCGACGTCCGTGTCCAATTGCAGGTTCAACGGCTTGAAGCGCTCTATGCAGATGTCCTGTGGGCGTTTGATGTTGGCCAGAAGCTCGGACATCTCCATAAGTCTTGACTCCGACTCATTTTCGAGGACCTTGGATAGGTTGTAGACGGGGAAATCGAGAGGTGTCGGGTCTGCGGGGGGTCTGCGTTCCTTCTCCGGCTCTGAAGTGGCGGAGGGCAAGGCTGCAAAGTGTCAGCTTGATACCAATGTGATGATCCATCTCCAACTCAAGGATAGGACTTTAGGTCACGCGCGCCCCCAAGCCAGGTGAACTTGACATTTCAACGCCACAGGGGGTAATGGCGGGGGGGAAACCCATCGAGGGGTAACCAAAAGGAACAAAAAGGAAGAATTTGCTTACCCAGCCCAGAACCCCAGCCAAACATTTCTAACAGTAATGCAAATGCAAATGCACGATTATCGCAAAGTTCCAGTCCCTAAGGTCACATGGGAAGGGGAAACAGGAAGGCGGAAAGACAGAAAGGCAGAACTAATAAATAAACAGAGTCGAAAGAAACTCCCATAAGAGAGATGAAAGAAGGTTGAAAGGGGACTTTTGTGGTGGGGAATTTCGGGAACATTTGTCCCAAGGTGTGACTTGGTGAGGTATACTGTTACCTATGATCTATGATATTCATAGGGTCAAGAGGAATGGGGAATACTGTATAGAGCTCTATGAATTACAATTGGCGCATGCCTCCAATATTTTGGGTTTTCAGATGTCTTAGAATCTAGGTGAAAACGGGCTTAAAAATGTGCAAACCGACTTTTCTATAAGGGATTTGGTACTTTATTTTGTAGACAACTACCTTTTTTTTTTCTTTCTATTCTCGAATATCATGTTTATATGTGGATTTCTTATAGTCACATGACTTCACTAAAAGAGGCATTGCTGTTCAATGCCGAGGATACTGCACAGCTGAAATAGGTAAAACATGAAACTTCAAGGAGTCCAAGGTTGGACCAGTCCAAATTAAAATCTCCAAATCCGAAACTGCCCTGTTTCGGTGATGCACTCCTCGAACCCTAACAAGATTGTGCGCGTGCAGAAAGGTTCGGAGTATATGGAAATTCCCATATTCTCTGGTGATTGTTCATCGACCTGTCTTATTGGGCCGATGGCTAAGCGCCGTTCATCTGTCACAGGAGGGGCAGTTCCTATTAGAAGAAGCGCCGGGTTACAGATTGACAACATCCCCGTCTAATTCTGAGAAAAAAAATTAAAACCTGTATATAACTCTCCGACCTCTTCGTATCTGACGTGATACACTTTTGGGGTGAATTGGGAACTGTATGGAATCCCTGACCACGGGATTATGTTGGCTGGCTCCAGGCTTCAAGAAACAAAGCAAGAAACAAAGCAAGAAACAGAGGCTTGGATGAACCATCAGAGCCAACTTAATAATCCTACTGCTTTGTCGGTTGCTTTGTCGCTTTGTGCTTTCTCTGACACTCATACAAAGGGATCCATCCGTCTACGTCGCTCCCATGTTCCATTCATTGCAATCGGAAAATACCACCAGATTTGTCTTTTAACCGTGCTGCCTGCGGGCTCGCGAGATGTCGAGTGCCTTGTCCGCCATTGATACTCCCTCTGCACCGCTCAACTTCATCCGGACGCCCATACATTTATCCTCTGAACCCTTGAACCTGGTGACAATCACGTCAATTGAAACGGAGACTATTTACCCTACATGGGTCTATACGATATCTGGTTCCGGGCCTGATTCCAGCACTGTGCTTGACTTCTTATCGTCAACACTGAACCCAACCCCGGTGACCGTAACCCTGACGACTAAGCTGTCAACGACTAAGCAGGACACCATAATATCGACTTCCAGCTCTACAGCAACAGTCATCTCGGAACCCCCAGTTTCGACTCTGGTCCCGACCTCGGTTCTATCAAGCCCAACGGGGGACTTTCCTATTTCCGCAACTTCGGAATCCACCGATCTCTGGTATTCCGATGCCCCTAGCAGCACGTGGATTCCACCGGTTCCATTAACTAGCTCGAGTATATCTCTTTCGTCGCTGTCTGTCTTGTCGGAGACAGCTATTGGCACCATAAGCTCCATGAGCTCCATCAGTACCTCGGCCAGATCGAGCACCGCACCATCAAACACACCTTCAATCCCACCATTTATTGGAACCGCCACGAGCGCAGCCTCTTCAGAAACAGCCCAAGCCGACCACTCCAGCCCCTCCAAAACTGGAACAATAGTTGGGAGCATCATCGGAGGATCAGCAATCACGATCTTCGCCCTGCTCGCCTGCGCACTCTACATGCGTCGCCGACGACGGAAAATAGCAACAGAGCGGCTAGGCATCAGACAGAAACTAATAAGAGGCGACTCAACGAGCTCATCAATCAGCCACCATCACCGCTACCACTCCTACCCCTCGATCCCAGGCAACATCGGCCCGCGATCACCCACACTCCCGGTCATCCCGCTGCAACAGCAGCTCTCAAATCCAGACTTATCTCTGGACAGCATGTACCTGCGCGGTGAGAGAACACCGGATCCCTTCGCGGACCCGCCCGCAGTTATCCAGATCTCAGCCCCATCTCGCTCGGTCTCGCTCTACTCCACTTCTTCCCGGGGCGCCGGGCGAGGTGGGCAGGGGTACTGGGACTGCGAGCGCGACAGTGTGGATGCTCTCGCTGTACCGCATGGATATTTGAATACGCCTATTATGCGTGATAGCATGCGCAGTGATCCTTTCGATCTTGATCTTGAGCCTCCGCTAAATGCTCACCACCGCCGGTCTTCTGTTCCTTCGATCCCAACTACGTGGGGTGTCAAGTTTTAGATGGCAAACTCTTGTTTGTTTGTCTTTTTTCACCTTGGACTCGCTTTTGTTTTGCTTCATGGTTTTCTCTTGGTTTGGTCTTTACTTCCTACATATATTATACGTTTATGCGGATACACTTGCTTTTTCTGGCTTTGCTTTGGTTTACGATAACAAGATCTTACGAATGCTATGCCTGCATGTTTTCTCTTTCTTTTTGGCATTTACTTACTAAGGTTCCTCCTTGGGTGCATTTACATCTTATCTCGAGTTCGGTGTTGAAGGTCTAGGTTGTTCATTGGGGTTATATCGATATGTACGATTTAAAGAGAGGAAGAACTCAAATTTTATCTCTATTTTCAAAATGTATTGATATATTTTCACCATTCTTTCATTTCCATTCCACTATTGTGTATAGTATATGAGCTGAGACGCCCGTCTGCCTAGGTGTTGTTCTACATTTGCAAAGCACGGATGACACCATGCTCGAGGCATAATTGTTGTCTACTTGGGGTTATCAATATATTTTAGAAGTATTTGAACTCTAACGCTGGTCTACGGCTATTAGAATATCCTGTGCTTTCGTTCCACGCTGATATTTGGCTGTTAATGAATTTTTACTCTCAGAACATTGTGGGAGTTGTGTAGTAGATATATATATATTCAGCGGGAATGACGTTTGGCACAAATCTAGTTAGATATTCAATGTTTGGTTATATATTATCTGGTACCTACTTCTAATCAGGTTTAAGAAAACTAAGCCTTCTTTTCATATCTATGCCAATATTGTGGGTTGAGAGACTGTTAAGTCTAGAAGTGAGTGGGTAGGCCATTTTAGATCAAATCCCCAGAATAGCAGTGGCGTAGCCACAAGACCCATAAATTACATTGGAGGTCTTTGATTTAGGTTGCCAAGGGGACAAGGAGGGAATAATTAAAATAAAAGTCTCCATAGAGCATGAAATATAGATATCCATGATACTGGTCAGTGACGTAGACTTAATACTATGACCCGCAACATGTAGAGGAAATCTATGAGCAAGACCACTAATAGGATACCGGGGCTTATGATAGACTTATAGAAGACATCTGCTTCCCCACATATCAGGTTTATACCAAGCGCATTAGATATGGGCCGGGGAACAAGAGTGCGGTTTTTGTTGTGTTTTTTGGTGAAGTAAAAAAAGATTTCCTTTTGCTTTCTCGTTACATTTTAACAAGAATAGCTTGAGTATCACATCATCATCGCATCTTCCTATTTCCCATACCCCATATTTTCCGAAAGATCCAACAAGGCCACGAACCCCATGCTATCAGAGAAAACAAGGGAAGGAGAGAAAGTCGTAACAGAATCTAGACTAATAGGAAGACGCCGAAGGCCGACCTGAGTTCGATATCGGGAACAGCCTCGAATCCCGAATCCAACCCAGAAGTTAACCGTTTCCAACCTCCGGACCGCCGAATTGTAAGAAAAGCGTCAAACAACGGAAGGGTAATTGAATTTTTGTATCAGATTTACTCTTCGCTGATCAGAGCGTTGTGCTTAGCCTCCTTGCGCTCCAACCGGCGCTCACGGAGAGCCTTGTTCTTGGCACGCTTAGCGTCCATCTCCTCCTTGAGGACACGGTCGCGCGCACGCTCAGCCTTAGCCTTCTGGATCTGTAGCGGTGAAAAAGAGAACGAGTCAGCCTGGGTGTGTTCTGTTTTGCGTATTTCATGGGGGTTTGTTTCATGGGTTCATGCTCCATGTTCGATCGTCATCCGTGGGGTTGACCCGGGTTGTAACTTACGTGCTCAACGAGGGCACGCTTGTGCTTGAAGGTGTTACCCTTGCTCAGGTGGTAGAGCTCGTGGTAAAGGTGCTTATCGATCTTGCCGGCGGCGCGGTAGCGGACGAGCAGACGACGGAGAACACGCATGCGGCGCATCCAGAGGACCTGGCTAAACAGAGGAAAGCGAGATCAGCAACTGTGCCCCGGGTTCCAATTCCATCGAGCGAGTCCGAGACAGGCCGGACAGAGAACAAAGGTTGGTGTGCATACCTGGGCATACGGGCATCCTTGGTACCCTTGCGCTTTCCGAGACCACGGTGACGGCCGTTGCGGCGAGCCTCGTTGAGCTCACGGGCGCTGGCACGGGAGTGCATGGTGACGGGCTTGCGGATGATGAGGCCATCAGCGACGAGCTTGCGGACGGTCTGGCGAGAGTTGGCGTTGGAGATCTCGTTCATCTCATTGGGGTCGAGCCAAATCTTGCGCTTGCCGCAGCCGACCACGGAGGCGGCGAGGCGCTTCTGGGTGGTAAGGTTGACCCTGTGGTGAAAGACCCGGTCAGCATCATGGCACACACATCACGAAGTTGTTCCTCCACTATAACGAAAATATCGGGTCCACGAGTTGGGTGTTGGGCATGAATTTCCACAGCACACGGGAGTGCATTCGAGAAGTTCAATAGCAGCTTGGAGATGAACTCACATCTTGATGTCGGCGTATCGACGGTCGTTGGCGGATGATGTTCGTGGCACTGAGAAATCCCGACGGTGAGAGTTTGAGAGGGCACTGCGGGCCACATTAGGTCAGCCGAGGGCTAAGCGAGTGCTCCTTCCACAACGGGCGGAGTGCCCCAGGGTGTATGCCCTAGCGCTAGTCCGAATCGGGATGATGGAACTTGAAGATCTTGCAGTCCGGGGAAGAAGCCAAGAGTACTTACGTTGGGAAATGTTGGAATAAAGATGCTGGGATATTAGTAGAATTGCAATTTGGGTTTCATTCTTTTTTTCTCTTTCGCTGACTGTCATGGCTTTCGTTGTAGATGACCCCAAACGGATATCATCACGTGATGTTAAAGACAAGCAGTGTCACCTGATCTGATATTCCTATTTAGGAAAGGGTGATCTGCAGTATAAAACAGTCCAGTAGATGGCTGCTCATTGATATAAAACGATGCAATATAAAATGTACACAAACATATGCAATACTTTTGTACGACTAAAACAAATAAAACCCAAGGGTATATCTATAAACATCTAGATGCTCCTTGGATGCGCAAACAAATCATCACTCATCGCCAAAGGCCTCTCCGAGATCAACCTTGCCAATGCTCCACAATTCCTTCTCATCATCTAGCTCATCGTTCGACAGTCCCAAGCCACCCTCACCACCTTCAGCCTCCCGACGCTCACGCGCCTGGTTAGCCAAACGAACAGCAATGCGCTTGAAGTAATCAGACATGCTGCGCTTGGGGCCTGGTGGGAGAGATGCACCCGGACCGGCCATATACTTGTCAAACACCTCGCTGTCAGACTCAACCACGGAGAAGATAGACAAGAATGCTGCTTCCGCAGCCAGCTTGACGGGGATCACGAGATCACGGACACTAGCGAAGATGGGTGGTGCGAGCAGAGCCAGATGAGGACGGGTCAGCTCGGGGTGAAGACGGCTGACAGTCCGGATGGTTACCAAGCTCAACCGCCTGGTGTCAACCGGGTTGCCGACCTGAATAGCAGATGCCAAGGCCTCAAAGATGGTCTTGCTTGACTCGAAAGAATGGTCGCCGTCATTGGACAAGAGGTATTTGCCTGCAGCAAGAGCGCTGTTGTCGGAGATGAAGGGCTGTTTCTGAGTTAGTCACGAGCAGTAATGGTGGTTTAGCATTCAACTTACATCCTTGTTTGCAAGACCTTGGCAGATGACGGTGGGCAGCTCCACAGAGAAGTGTTCTGTCAGAACCTCGGCGCATTCAGCCAAAAGAGCATTGAGTCCGAGGATCGCTGCATGAGAGAGGGAGCCAGCAAGAATACGGTTCCTACAAGGAAATATATTAGCATCCAGCAAAATCAAACCACGAGAACGAATATGCATACTTGATAAGAGGAACCGAGTTTGCAGCAGGGAGGACCTTCACGAGAGCAGCGAGCAGACGAGCGTTGGTAATGGCAACGGAATCTGTGAACATGTTAGAGAGCCGTGAAGCACAGGAATCGTTGATAATCATCTTACCAGTCTGGTCGCTAGCGTCATCATCAATCAGAGCAAGGATCGCTTGCCGGGATGCCTCGCTCATGTTGGCACCGGCCTTACCAACCACCTCCTGTAGAGCCTTCATCATCGCGTTCTTCACGCCAACGTCGGAGGTCTTCGATCCAGCAATAAGTTCTGAAATATCAAAGTTAGCGATGGGCTACGTTCCATGTATAAAACTTCCCGTGACTTACCAGCAATAAGAGGATCAACTCTGGGAGTCAGGGTAATCAAAATACCAAGACCCTTGGCAGCCCGGTTGCGCAGAGTCTCGCTTGTGGTATCGGCCAGACCACGGGCGAATGTACGCTGGAGCTGGGGCAGGAACGGCTTGACAGCTAAGGGGATCTTCTCCAACAGCTTGTTAAGAGTATAGAAGATAGCGCCTGGAAAATTTGATCAGTAAACAGATACCACACAAGCCTTAGCTTTGCATGACTTACACTTGATATCGACTGAACGTTCTGACACAACACGAATAAGCGGACCGGTGATCTGAGTCACGAAAGGCTTCAATGACTCGGCACGAGTCCGGTCAATGATATCCGACATCGCAAGAGCCGACTGGGTACGCTGATCGGTAGTACCATTGAGAAGACCTTGCAAGAAGATCGGCAAGATAGCCATGATACCCTTGGGCAGGCTGAAGCCGGGCAGGTCCGCGCCAGCCACGCCAACCTGTCGCAGAATCTGGCGGGTGGGAATAGCCAAGCTCTCCATCTCTTCCTTGCGCATGTGAGACATGAGACCAGTGAGGGCAGTCCATGCCGCCTTGACGACATCCTTGTCTGGGTCGTCGAATGAAATCAGCAAGGCGCGGATCAAGTCCTGGTAGTACCTCGAGAAGTCAACCTCAGCTTCCGCGAAGAACTTGGTCAGATGGAGGGCCGCAGCAGCGCGACGACGGTGATCGTCGTGCTTGACAAGAGCGACCATCACATTCATGCCGACACTCAGGCCATCGTACTCGTCTACAGACACCAAGACGGTGTCGAAGGCAGT